TCCATCCGCTGGCTCACTCCCCAGTTGGCTGCAATGGCTGGAGCTGCGCTGATCCAAAGGCAGAAGCCAGGAGCTTCCGGCTTTCCCACATGGGTGCAGGGGCCCCAGGACTTGGGCCGTCTTCAACTGCTTTTCCAGGCCATAGCAGAGAGCTGGATCAGAAGAGGAGAAGCTGGGACTTGAACTGGCGCCCATATGGGATGCCAGCGCTTCAGGCCAGGGCTTTAACCTGCTGTGCCACAGTGCCAGCATCCCATCCATAGTTTTTACAATGGGCCCCTCATGCTTATACACTAAGAATAATTTCTGGGGCTGGCACTGTGGTGGTAGCAGGCACCAGTTCATGTCCTCCTGGCTGCTCCACTTCTGATCTACTTCTGATGTGCCTGGGAAAGCAGCAGAAGGTGACCCATGTGTTTGGGCCCCTACCACCTCCACAGCAGACCCAGATGAAGCTCCTGGCTCCTGGCTGCAGCCTGGCTCACTTCTGGCCATTGCAGTAAGTGGGGGAGTAAACCAGTGGATGGAAGACCTGTATCTCTCTGTGAAATCCTGACTTTCAAGTAAATAATCTCAAAAAGAAAATAATTTCTTTGTTAGCTTTTTAAGTATGCTATGATCTCCATGATAACCAAGTATAACAGAATTAACAAGAGTCTAAGGTAACGCTTGTTGCTGGGTCACAGTTGTTTGCTGTTGAGTCTATTTCTCTGTTAATAAAACAGGGACGATACCTGCTCCCGAAGTGTGAAAATAAACTTTTGTGCCAGTTATCACAACCCAATAAAAGGGGCCTCGCAAACCTTAGATGGTATAAACCTCTGTCATCCAAAGAAACCATGTACTGTAAACATTTCTTTGTAAGATAATAAAATCTAACATTAGCAGTTTCTACATACCAAATTAGTCAAAAGACTTATATTTTTGTAATGGAATTTCTTTTGGAATTCAATTTTAAGGAGAGTGTGATAGTTACTTCTACGTGTCTACTTGGCTAGGCTATGGTACCCAGACATTCTTGGTCAAACGCTACTTTAGTTGTTGCTGTGAAGGTATTTTTAAAGATATCGTGATTAACATTGAAATAAGTAAACTTTGAGTGCAACAGATTACCCTGCATTATGTGAGCAGACAGCATCCAATCAAGTGCAGAGGGAATTACTGTCTGCAGAATGCCTGTGGACCCAACGCCAACTCTTCCAGAGTACGCAGCCTCCCTCTACATTTTTAATCTGGATTTGTCAGCCTCCACAATCACATAAACCAATTCCTCAAAACAAATCTTTTTTATTTGAGAGAGACACACACACACACGAGTGCTCCCATCTAGTGGTTCAGTGTCCACATGCCCACAACAGCTGGGCTAGGCCAAACTGAAGCTGGGAGCCAGTAACTCGATCAGGGTGCCTTGGCAGTGGCAAGGCAACTAACTACTTGAACCATCCTGGCAGCCTCCCAGGGTGTGCATCAGTGGAAAGCTGGAATCAGAAGCACAAATGTGACTCCAGCTCAGGCACTCGATATGGGATGCAGACATTCTTACTGGTGACCTAACCAGTGAAGTGGCCAAATGCCTGGCCCCCTTCCCCTAATCCAGACACCTAATGTGACTGCTGGCACTACCACAATCTTTTGTAGCCCTCTCATTTAGAATAATTTAAATGGGTTTAGCACTGTTGAGGGAAAAATCCCATGTATATCCCAAAGTTTCCCAATACTTTGAGATAACATCAAATCAAAACCCAGCTCTGCCAGATACTCTAACCTGGCTTCATCAACTCCTCTCCTCACTCATCCTTGCTAAGCCTCAGTAGCAAGCCGTGATTCAAAGAGGAAAACTTCTTTTCCAAAGCTTATATGCACAAATATCTGCTCCTCCCTTCTCTCCCTACAAGCTTCTCTCATTTTGTAAGTATGCCCTAAAGGTACCAGTTGCAGACATAAGAAACTGACAGTCCCAAGGGACTCAAGGTTAAAAGTCGCCATGGGAGTGGTTGTTGGGTGTAGTGTCAGTTGCAGCTGTCTCTCTTTCAAATGACATGAAAATATGTAAATAGAAAAAAATTTAACTTAAAAGTCACCTTGAAAAATCTGCAAAGCTACTAAGAATGTAATAAGGCTTCAAGAAATTCTGCTTTCAGTAAAACTGATTGCTCTGATTACTCCAGGTGGTGATGGTTTGAACTGAAGACATTATAGGGAATGTGCGTGAAATGGTCAAATTCAGGATATATTTTGCGGAGAGCCAAAAGGATTTACTAATGTTTTGGATATTAAGAGGCAAAGAAGGGAATCAAGGATTAAAAAGAAAATCTGCTCTCAGACAATCAAATGAATTATTCAATAACACAGAAAAAAAAATCCCAGGATAAATAATATTCAAATAATCCAAACACTGATTTGGGAATAGTGAATTCATTGTTCTAAAAGAAAGAATTATTTTCCTCTCATTAATTGTTATGCTGTCCTGCTCAGATATAGGCACTGTGCAGAAACATAACAGTACTAGTGTACCACGCAGGCAAACAATGGAGAGTTCTGAATGACAAACAGACGAAGCTACTTTGATGTCCACACTGAAATACCATCCTTTCCCCCTTTTCTTAATTTGGATCGTCATAAATGAGTGTAAACATGGTGACTTTCCTGCTTTTGTTGAACACAGTCCTTTTGCAATCTACACTTAAGACAATTATCAGTCCTCTGCTTTAAATGTTCAATTCAAAGCATCATCTTATAAAAAGCAATTTAAAAACATTTCTATCCCTAGACCATAAGGAAGGAGAGTGTTTCAAGGCCAGAATATTGATGGGCAAAATGTTTTCCAGGGAACAATGAATCAGCCTCTGACATGATTTTTGTTCCATGAATCTTTTTTTTTTTTTCAAGAACAGCAAACCACTTAAACAGAGAATGAAATGGTGAAAGAAAAAATGCTGCTGTTCATGGAGTCATTGCATTCTTTATTTAAATTTCTGACCTCTTTGGATCATCACAAGGGTATACCTGATGGTAAAAATATAGCTGCATTTAAAATGCTATTTGGAAACACATTCACACACATTATATTTCATAATGAAGTAACACAAAGAAACTTTCCTAAAACATAGGATTTCTCTCTAAAGCTTAAATGTGAGGCAGACAGACGTCTGACTTTAAAACAGATGGAATCCCAGAACATTTCCAGGATACATAAATCTGCATTTTGTGTTACATTTTATGCCTGAGACAGCTACCCAATCCCAACTGATGGCTAGGGTTTCAGTGTTGTCTTTCCTCTCTTCCCTTCTAATATTCACATGTAACCTTATTTAGTGTTTCTTGTGTAGCATCCTATGGATGAGTATTTCAGAATGTGTATGATTTTAATATTCTGCTCTGTTGCTTGTAATCTTAAGAGTGCATATATATATATAGTCCATTATTTAATCAAGACATACTTAGTAATAAATAATACCAATTCAGGGAATCTACCATATGTACTCTGATAGAAAAAAAAATACAAATTGCCACTAATAAAACCTGTTTATTTTATATTACAGTTTTCAAAAAACATGTTTGTAAAATTACTGTCAAATTGAGCTTAAATATAACCTTTACAAAGAGATCAAAATTGTGTAACATTATTTAACTATTAAAGTACATAGATTTAAAAGGTGTTAGATGAGAAAATGTTAAGTTTTGGTCAATGTCTAAAAGAAAGTTAATAATAATAATAATACAGTTAATTAAATCTGTATGATACCACTAATGGGTTAAGCCTTAAAAACATTTAGGGGAAAAAAGCTGTACTTTCCCTTCAGAAAGCTTTAATATTAAACATTTACTAAGAAATATATCGTGCATACTGTGAAAATAATGATCTCAAAATTTACCTAATTGCTTCACAAATGAATCAGAGAAACCATAGAAAACTGATTTAAATACATATTTTAACTCCTTAAATTTCCCTGATAAAAGATACTCAAATGAAAATTTTGTCCCTTCCAATTAAATACAAATTATTCATATTAATGATATTATATTTTTAACATCATAAAATTTCAAGCATTTTCCAAAAACACAAACTCTGTTATTAAAATAAAAAGAAGGAAAAAAAAACTAAGAAAATATTTATTTAACCAATGTTTTTCAGAAATTTGGTATATTTACAAACTTTGTAACACTGTAGAAATCTTTGGTGGTGACACATGGAATAAGATCCCTGAAAACACTTCAATTTTGTTCCATCCATCAATCAGCGTGGTCAAGTATTTATATTCAGTAATGCTGGTAGTATCAGTTTTTAGCCAAACACACACACATATATAGTGAGGTGTGTTTAGGGGATCTTATGTAGAGCCTAGGTGGGTTTACAAAATTAATTACTTGGCAGTAAGCTTATTTCTGGCTCCTTATGTATTAGACGAAAAAAACATTGCAAACAGAGTAAGTTAATCCTTATTCCAGAACAAACTCTGGAAATAGTTAAGTATTAATGAACAAGTTGAATAAATGTGTAGTAAAATTAAACACTGGCTAAAATTTGTGGATAAACTTGAACAGCTACCAAGAGTATCCTATGCATCTAATGCCCATACCCCAAGTAGCAGCAAAGGGAAGCAAGGCACTGTGGTCTACAGATAACATTTACCTCTTTAAAAATCAGCAGACTTACAAGCAGAGAAACAAAAAGAGGCCTGCTCTACCTGAAAGGAAACAAAAATATATAATCTTAACATACAAAGTTCAAAGAAAAGGGCATGCTAAAACACATGTAAAGAACCAAAATTAAAGAAATGAGAAAAGGAGAGAAAAGAAATGACAGAAGAGAAAGATGATGTAGGCTGTGTGTGAGGATTTCACAATAGAAATATTAGAGGCAGTGTGGTAGGTGTGAGGGAGTACAATCACACACAGGGACTTGCATTATCTCTGAGACTGGTGTGGTCTTTGATGAAGCACTTTGATTTTACAAGTGTAGAGGAATAAATAATTAATCTCATTTAGGAAAGTGGGAGTTTTTTTTTTTTTTTTTTTAAATAGGTTTAATACTGAGATTAGACTTGAAAAAGATAAAGTGGTACAAATCGGCCCCCAAAGATAATGTTCCTGATAGAAAGTCACTTGTGCCTTGTTAAGGCAATTTGAGATGACACTGCCCTTTGCTTAGGCAATGCAAGCACATTGTAGCATTTATACTGAGAAGTCTAGTACCAGCAATATAGACAAAACTGCCTTCCAACAGTTTGTAATTAGAAATCAAAGGAATTTTGAACAGAAATTAAAGACTGCTTCAAGGAACTAGGAGGCTAAAAATTAGTCAAGGTAAAGTAGATGGAGACATTCATAGAAAGTTAAACTTTGGGAGAAAAACACTGGGTGAATTTTTACTTGGTACTATGTTATACAGCTTCCCTTGATAAACTGGGAAAATTGGTTCCAGGATCCATCTCCCTATACCTAACCCCCATGGATATCAAATTCTGTGAATGCTCAAGTCCCTCATATAAATCCTTTAAATCATTTTTAGATTACTTATAACATCTGATGAAGTATAAGTGCTATGTCAACAGTTGTTAGGATGTGTTCTTTAGGGTACAATGACAAGAAACATGTCTGTACGTATGTGGTACACAGCTATTCAGGTTTGTTCTATAGTTAGTTGACTTTGTGGATGCAGACCCATGGATATGGAGGGTCAAGTACATCAAGAATGTGAGATTAGAAAATATTTTAGGATTAGTGTGAACAGACTATGTATAAATCATGCAAAGGTACTTCTGAGTAAACATTTTGTTCTTGCCAATACTTTGAGATGGTCCTAAATACACTTTACCAACTGGATTTCTTTCTTTCTTTCTTTCTTTCTTTCTTTCTTTCTTTCTTTCTTTCTTTCTTTCTTTCTTTCTTTCTTTCTTTTTTTAAAGATTTATTTTTATTTACTCAAGAGGCAGAGGCAGACACAGAGAGAAAGAGAGAGAGAGAGAGAGAGAGAGAGAGAGAGAGAGAGTGTCTTCCATCCTTTGGTTCACTCCCTAGATAACTGCAATGGCTGGAGCTGTGCTGATCAGAAGCCAGGAGCCAGGAGCTTCCTCCAGGGCTCCCACATGGGTGCAGGGTCCCAGGGACTTGGGCCATCTTCTACTGCTTTTCTAGGCCACAGCAGGGAGCCGGATCGGAAGTGGAGCAGCTGGGACTTGAACCAGCACCCATAGGGGATGCTGGCACTGCAGGCAGTGGCTTTATCCACTCTGCCACAGCGCCGGCCCCATGGATTTCTTTCTTAAGAGGTGAAAGAAATTAATTATCTCATAACTCTCACTGTTTTTTTCTTTTTGACAAAGAAGTAGGTCAAGCAAATTATATAAATTATATAAGCATAGTTAAATGCAAATTTGATTACTGATCACTAAAACCATCACCAAAATATATACTGACTTAGGATTCCTAATTAATAACTTTATTAGTATAACCTGAAAAAGCCTGAGAATCCAATCACTCAAAATGGTACTTTTTCTAATAACTTCTACTATGTAGGATTAATAACATTGGTATTTTGTATTGGCACTCATCTTTAGGAACTTATCTTAGCCAGGAGATTCAAATGATTTCAGTCAATGCCAGAGTCTGTAAACCAGCAGCACATATCACTGCTAAGCTTGTGAGTACATTGGCTGTTGGATAATTTTATGAATTGGTAAAGACCTTAGTGTTCTTTCTGTGAATGTATTCACAAAAGCCACCATTTTTAAAAGCTGAAAATCTAATCAGTGTCTACAAAAAATCTGCTAAGTTCAAGTATGCTGCACTAACTATGGAAAATTGGTTAATGTTTGAAATAACTTCTCATTTGTAAAGAAGATAATTAAAAACAGTTAAATTTCAGCTATATTTTTATATTATTAAAATTCAGTGAATCTACCAAATGAAACCCACAGGAAAAGAGATGATGTAATTCAAAGCAAAAATGTGTCATGTCGGAATATGACAAACAACAACAAAGACAGTGTCAATAAAGTTTAAAGTATATGTACAGTTGTAAAATAAGTAAACAATTTTCAAATGTGCAAAAGTAGTTAGAAGAAAAGTGCTATGTAGATACCTGGTTTTCAAATATCTGTTTCAAAAACTTTCAGATGCTAGAAAAACTAGAAAGTACTATAAAAAGAAAAACTTAAAAGACTATATATAAAACCTTATTATTTTACATTATGTCCTTATTATATCACTGCCAGATCAGAGGCCCATTTAATTATTATCCTCATGTGATAGAACATAAATGGAGGTAAACAATACAATACCACAAAGGCTGAAGTATCCTGATCCATAAAAGAGACTCTTCAAGTATACTGTGGGTGTATGTTTCATCTCCTATCCCAGGCACTCAAGGCTGCTGACGAACTTGCAAACAGATAACATGACTTTCTATCACTTCTGACACATATGTTAATAAACCTTGCTTAACTACCTTTAGTAGTCAGTATTTGGAAGTATTGTTAGAGAAATAAAAATTCTTTCAATTCACAAAAGTAAATCCTATCACTCTCATAATTTAAAAAATTATTTCAATGTGTAAATCCTGAATATATGTTAGAAAATGAAGTCGATTTATAAGTATTGTTTGTCTTGAGATATCCGAAGTGTACACGGCTAAAAATACACCTGTGGTCTCTTCTTCACTTTATATTTTAGTGACCCATACCGCATCTGAAGAGAGAAATATGTTATTAATAAGAATTACATGATTACTTTTTAAGACTAGACTTAATAATTCATATATAGCAATTTTAACCTTTCTGATATAGAGAATCAATTATGCTATAAGTGTATATAATACAGCACTACTTCTATAAATATAGTCAGTACAATATCAGATATATGCCCCAAGTTACTACTAATAACAGAAACACTATTTTCTATGTGTTGCTTACTACAGTGTGAAGGACTATTGATCATAAAGATCTGAGCCCATTCACTGTCTTCCACTGTTTTCTGGGCACAAAGACAATATACTATTACGGATCAACTTTTACTCTTTTTTTATTTTCATGGAGAGTTGATCGAAAGCAAAACTGTATAGCTAATTTTCTTGTGGCTTTCCTCATTTCTGCAGAGTCACCACAGGCTATTCATGACAATCATGTGATTAAGCTAATGTGGGAAAAGCCATTCTGTTGTTATAGTGGAAGACATAGATTTACCATTCTCAGAATCTCCAGGTATTCTAACACATCTGATCTGAAAGAAGAATTTTCCTGTAACTGCTGTCTCACAAGCCCAGTCCTTCATTTGTGGAAAATGTATACCCTAAACGATAACCAGCAGGAAGATCCCTTAATGCCAGTCATTAGGAAAGCGACTCTACACTTGACTGACCTCCTTGCGGCCTTTGACGGTTTTCACAGACTTCATGCTCTGTGATCTTCGAAGCCCTTTATGTGTTAACATCTCATCATCTGAATATGTCCCATCCGCCTCTTCATCTGTCTTCTCCTCTCTGTCTTTCAGTGGAATTCCGTAGCCTAAACAAGAGATCAAAAACAGCGTGTCTTGGTAAAGGCACACCAGTCGGTGCTGGCCATTCTCTGCCTGGCTGGCATCTGCCGATATCCTCTCTCATCTGCACTGTGTTCCCTGCTGCCACTCATTAGTAATCTTTGTCCCTGTGATCTGCCAGAGGAAGCTTGAAACTCTTTCCCTCCAGGAAGCTCTCTGACCATCCTTATTTTCACTATGCATTTTTCAGAATGATTAAAAATTAACTTACTTTTGAGTAGATAACACATTCGTCTTGTTCAAAAACCAGAGAATTTAAACAGGCGTGTAGTCATGTCCTTGGTACCCATGAGTTCTCTATATGTGAGTTCCACATCTGTGAATTCAACCAACTTTGGACTGAGAATATCTGGGGGAAAACTGTCTGTATTGAATGGGTACATTTTTTCCCCTTGTAATTAGTTCCTAACCAGTACAGAATAACAACCATTTCTATAGTATTTACATTGTGTTAGCTATCACCAGTAATCTAGAGGTGATCTCAAGTACACTGGAGGATGTGCACAGGTTATATTCAAGTGCTGTACCATTTTTAGAGGAGAGAATTGAGCACCTGCAGATTCTGGTGTCCTGAGGAGCAAGGGTTGGGGCTCCTGAACCAATCCCTCATGGATACTGAGGGATGACTGCATGGTCAACAGTCTCTTCCCACCATTTCTCCTTTTCAGGAATTCTAAACAACCCAAGCCTTTGTGTGTCTTTGTCATTTGCACTTTTGCCCTTACTTAGGTCACATGCCACATGTTCTGTCAAGAGTGGGGATGGCAGGATGAACTTAAGGAGTGAAGGAAGACCCAAACAGGCTAGAACCTTGGGCAAGACAAGTTCATGGGGTAGGTGATGCGGACATCAGACCAGCTCTGTTGCAGCTGCCGAGATAAAATCCAGCCAGACAGGCTACAGTAATTAGAAACACCACAGGCTATAACGACAAGTGTTAGAAAAAACAGCCAGCATCAGATGGTTAGTGAGAGATCATGTGGGTGTGCTAACAGGTTGTTAGATGTAGCTACAATAACCTACCACCATTGGCCAAAATGCAAACATCCTGGCAGTCTGGCTGGTTATTGTCGAGAAGTCCGACAGCACTCTGAGGCTGCACCCAGGGACAAGAACTCTCCCTTCCCCAAGGTAAAGATGTTCTCAAACTGCCTTAACTGTTGTTAATACACAGATTGCTGGGCACCAGCCCAGGAGTTTCTGATTCAGAAGGCCTAGAGTAGGGCTGCAAATGTCTACTTCTAAGGTCCCTGGTGGATGCTAGGCTGATGGTGGGGCCAACACTGAGTTCCACTGCAAAAGGCTCCCAGAGAGAGCACAGGAGAGGCCTGTCTAAGGCAGCCAGAGTACTCGGTAGGTTATAAAGACAGGGATGAGGCTACTAGGCCCCATGAAGTCTCAAATTCTGCTTTTATAAGGATAAAGAGCATAAATACTTAAATCTTCAGGGGAAGAAAAACCAGAAGGGGCTTCCAGACTCAGGAAAAGGCAAAGGATGGACTGCATGCATGTGAAGAAAATGTTACCCTCAATAGGCTAATCCTCCACCTAGCGGCGCCGGCACACCGGGTTCTAGTCCCGGTTGGGGCGCCGGATTCTGTCCCGGTTGCCCCTCTTCCAGGCCAGCTCTCTGCTATGGCCAGGGAGTGCAGTGGAGGATGGCCCAGGTGCTTGGGCCCTGCACCCCATGGGAGACCAGGAAAAGCACCTGGCTCCTGGCTCCTGCCAGGATCAGCGCGGTGCGCCGGCTGCAGCGGCGGCCATTGGAGGGTGAACCAACGGCAAAGGAAGACCTTTCTCTTTCTGTCTATCTATCTCACTGTCCGCTACTGCCTGTCACAGAAGCAAAAAAAAAAGAAAAAAAAAGAAATGTTACCAATACATGTTTGTCCATCTGCTCTCTCAGGACACAAATAACTTGGGACTCACTAAACAAGCCACAAAAGCACTGCTAATAAGCATCTTATTCTGACACGAATATGAACTTTAAATGGCACTAGGCAAGTATAGTTTTGTATTGCCAGACTTCGAGGCTAGGAATTAGGAAGGGTTTGGAAGTAGAATCTGCCACCATTTAGACCACAATCCTTTGTTTTCCTGCAGTGCTGGTTTAAGGTTCTAGGTAGCAGAGAAGCGTGTGCAGAGGGTCAGGGCAGTGAGGGAGCTCAGCTGCTTGGACGAACGAATGCCAGGAGGCCAGGGTGGCCATTAGAGGGCAATGGGTCCCAAGCCTAAAGAAGCACTCCCAGGGCACTGTGAAGTGGGAAAACAAATGTACACACAGAAAAAGACAGGAAAAGCAAAAAATGAAACTGCTATGTTTCATGGAAGTAGAGTTTTAGGTACTTTTAAGCTTCTTCATTTTCTCCTTTTTTATTTGCCAATTTTTTATTTAAAAATTGTTTCTCCCATAATGCAGGAAAATAAACAAAAAGAATAGTTTTTCAGTTGTCATTTCTAGATTTTTTTTCCCCTATGGTTGTTGCTTACATAATACATATTCCTGATCCTAATATGCTGAAGCACAGAATCAAGGCAAAGCAAGGATCAGAAAGGAAGCAACCATGATTCCTTTCTTTCTTTCTTTTTTTTTTTACTCTCAGGGGCAAGATTTTGGCATGACAGTTAAGGTTTGAGTCCTGATCCAGCTTTCTGCTAATGTGCACCCTGGGAGGCAACAACTGATGGCCCAAGTACTTGGATCCCTGCCACCATGTAGGAGGCACAGGTTGGGTTTTAGGCTCCTGTCTTTGGCCTGGCCCAGATCCAGCCATGGCAAGTGTTCGGAAAGTGAACTAGCAGATGGAAATCTCTCTCTCTCTGCCTTTCAAATAAAATGAAAAAATAAGAAATAATAGTTTTTTTGAAGACTACTCATGTAGGCTAAGACTACAGTTCAACAAACATAGTCCTTGCTATATTAATTGCCTCTCATTTTGTATAACAGCAATTGGAATTTTATTCACAGGGTGATTTTACATCTTCTTCTTTCCTTCTTTCCTAATTTCAGCTTAAAAGTACCTTACTATAGTTCCAGAAAAGCTATGTATGGATAGATTCATTATTCCACGAGTATTTTTAAAATTCTACTGCATATCAGGTACTGTGCTAAATTACTGGGATACAATGGTGAAAAAGACAAGAAGGTTTCCAATCAAGAAACTTATAGTCCAATGGAGGAAATAGACTCTAAGAAGCACTATGATGCTGTAACACATGCTATAAACAGAAGATAAGGAGGAGGTACTATGGGAGCATACAGCAAGGTAATTAACCGTGCCTAGGTCTTGGATAAGGGGGTTGGGTTATAAGCCTTGTAGGAAGTGGTGACTGAACTAAATCTGGACAGACTCCTGATTCTACAGAGCTAGCACATGATGGAGTGGGAGAGGCGCCTGGGGAGCCAACATCCTTCATCAGAAAGCAGCCGGGTGGGAGGCACTCAAGTACTTGAAGCAGAAGGGCAACACAATTAGACTTGGGTCCTGTTATATTCTTCTTTCACTTTGGAGAAAGAATTAAAAATGGATGAGCCTAAAGGCAGGGAGCCTGGGTAGAGAGGCTGCTGCAGTACGGCAGGTCAGAACTGATGGGAGCCCATGGAGTGGGGATGGAGAAAGTAGCTGAATTCGGGCTTTATCATGAGATCAAATTGACAAATTGAATTTACTTATTAAAGCAATCCCTGCATCAAACAGACAAGACACTAGAGTCAAAGACAATATCTTCATTAGAATATATATTTCTATATAAATTGAAACTGAAAAAGATTACAATTATTTTTCAAAATAAACAGTATTATTTTATTTTTGAATTTAATAGACTTTTTAAAACTATTTTCATTTTATTTGAAAGGTGGGGGGTGGAGGGGATATCTTTTCATGCACTGGTTCACTCCGCACATGCCTAGGACAGCCAGGGTTGGGCCATGCCAAAGCCAGGGCTGCAGAACCCAAGCATTCGAGTATCACCTGCTGCCTTCAAGGACGTGTCTTTAGCAAGCTGGATCGTAAGAAGAGGAGCTAGGACTGGACTTGAATCAGGCACTCCCATATGGGATGCAAAAGTCCCAAGTGCTGACTTAACTGCTGTGCCAAACACCCACTCCTACATTACTTAAAAAAACAAAACCACTAAAAATCTTACCTCAAAGTACGCTGGGAACATTTTAGTAATGTCTTTGTCTTTTTTTTTTTTTTTTGACAGGCAGAGTGGACAGTGAGAGAGAGAGACAGAGAGAAAGGTCTTCCTTTACCGTTGGTTCACCCTCCAATGGCTGCTGCGGCCAGCGCGCTGCAGCCGGTGCACCGCACTGATCCGATGGCAGGAGCCAGGTACTTCTCCTGGTCTCCCATGGGGTGCAGGGCCCAAGCATTTGGGCCATCCTCCACTGCACTCCCTGGCCACAGCAGAGAGCTGGCCTGGAAGAGGGGCAACCGGGACAAAAATCTGGCGCCCCCGACCGGGGACTAGAACCCGATGGTGCTGGCACCCGCAAGGCGGAAGGGATTTAGCCCTATTGAGCCACCAGCCGCTGGCCCAGTAAATTGTCTTTTTCCAGAACATAAATGTGGTGTGGTGTTGGTGTGGTTTTAAACACACATAAATTTTCCCTTATAGCCAACTCCTTTTTCCATGGCAATCCTCCCCATACAGGATTATAGCACACCATACTGTTTTTGTTTTTGTTTTCCCTGCACAATCTGGATACACTTTCATGACCTAAGCGTAGACTGACATTATTTTTCCAGCCGAATAAGTCACCTTTTGCTTGGACAAATGCTTGCTCATTTATCTTGGACCTTAGTTTGCTTCAATATTTGTTGCTATTAACAATAAGAAGTACATGTTTGTACATAATCTTTGAATACTTGACTGATTATTTCCTCGTGATACATTCCTAGAAGTTTCCTGGTGAGTTAGAAGGAATAAATGTGGATGATCACTGCCAGATTATCACTCCAAAGGACTGTTCCAAAGGACTCATAAAAATGTACATGAGAGTGTGCGCCCCAACACGCTTGCTGTGGTGGTGTTAAAACATGTCCTCCAACTCTGACTCCACCTTCCCTTAAATCTCACAGGCCTTTGTACCTGTCTCAACAAATTACTACAGAAATGTGGTCGACGTGACGCTGCAGGACCTTTGCCAGCTTCTCCCGTTGCGCTGCTGCCACTCAGAGTGACCATGTGGAGAGACGTTGCTCCGGTCTCAGCCACTCCAGCCACCAGCTGTTAGACCCCTTGCAGGTCAGACACCAGACGTGTGAGCTCTTCTCTGAGATCACACCTTCAGCTTCAGCTGCGTGAGATCCCGAGCAAGAACTGCTTTGTTGAGTCCAGTCAACCCCAGACACATAAATAAAATTAATGACTGTGAATGTTTTAACCTACTGTTTTGGGGTGGTTTGCTATGTAGCAATAGATAACGGTTACTGACACAGAGAACACAAATAAAAAAAGGTGTTTTTTGGTGGTTGTTGTTGTTTTTTTTTGCTAATATGGTGAGCAAAAAAATTATCATTCCTACTATTTATTATTTCTTTGGACTACCTGAAGCTGAAAATCTTCAAGTATTTCTTGGTCAGTTGAATTCTTTGGTAGAATTGACAATAATTGGTTTCTAAGCATTCCTGCATTGCTGAAAATTGCAATGCTTTGCTTCTAATATGAATATAATGGGAATATGTTTGACAGTTTGTAGCTTATCTTTTTTTTTGGTGTTTTCCCCCTATATACTATGTTTATATTTTTTTAATGTAGAAAAATCTCTCAAACCTTTGGTTATGTTTTCTCATTCTGATGTTATGCTTAAGAGAGTTTATAATTCCTAAGATTATAAAAATATACAAAGGAATGTCCCATTACATGGTTTAGCTTCTTACATTTAAATCTTAACACTTAAAGAATTTACTTTGATCTAAGGCTTGAGGCTGAGGTGCAATTTCATTTTCTCTACCTTGTAAGTCTTCTCATTTATTAAATAGTCTGCCTTTGTCCAAATAGTCTGAAAGGCCACCTTTCTCATGTGAGAAATTTCCATGTACACCTGGATTTGAAACCATCATGATTATTATTACTGTCTCTTCACCTCTTCCAGTCTTAGAACCATACTTCTTTATTAACAATATTGACAGTGGCTGGTATTGTGGCGCAGTGGGTTAAGTTGCCACCTGCAATGTCAGTACCCCATATGAATGAGCTTTGGTTCAAGTCCCTGCTGTTCCACTTCCAATCCAGCTCCCTACTAATGTGCCTGGGAAGGCAGTGGAAGATGGCCCAAGTACCTGGGCCCCTGTCAACTCCAGTAGGAGATCTGGATAGAGTTCTATGCTCCTGGTTTTGGCCTGGCCATGTGGAGTGGATGAGCAGATGAATGATCTTGTTGTTGTCTGTTTCTCCCTCTTTGTTTTTAAAACAAAAAAAATCTTAAAAAAAAAAAACCAACAACCAATATTGTCTTAAGAGAAAGTTCTGGTCAGATTTTCTGTCCTCAGGGAAGCAAAGCTCAGAGTATAAGCTATTCTGTACAAACTTGGAACTTGAGAAAAGTGATGCATATTATAATTTTTATTTTATGACTTTCTTTTATTGCTACATCTTACTCTACATTTTTATAAATCTTAAAGTTATTTTAATTTCACGGCTTGAAATTTAAGAACTAAACAGCGCCTCAAGTTCTTAAAATATTTTAGTCACAGAATTTTAAAGGGTAAACAGCATAAAAAATATTATAGGTTTTCATATTCATAATCTTCTTCACTTAGATAACTGAATATAATTCTCAAGAAATTCTAAAGTATATTATGGATAAGCTGCTGATAAAGGAGTCAGATTATCTTGTCTAAATCTACAAATTATAATATATATATCATATCCTATAATTAAAATCAATATTTAATTTTAAGCACATAAAATATCTGTATTAAAAACTGCTTTTGGATTATTAATATATTAATAAGGCTCACAATTCTAAGTTCAGTGGTTCTACCTTCTTAAAGGCATCACCATCCTGATCAATGGTTAATGCTTAGTTGCTACTTTTTAGGTAATAGTCAACAACATTGTAAAGTTATTCATTTGTAGGAGAACTTGGAAGAAAGTTCATTATTTTTTCATTTTAAGGAGGGAGTGTTATTTTATTTTTTCAGACTAGTTTCAGTTATGAAGGATGACTTTCCATTGACTTCAAAACTTCCTTTTTAATCTATTGCATAATACTTAAAAATTTTATCAATATAAAGAGAACAGATTTATTTCATAGATATAATTCTAAGAAGAAAACCATATTTCTCTCCCTCAATCCCCCAAAACTTCTACTTTTTAAGAGAAAAGATCAAATAACCCTGTCTCTTATGGCCTTACTTTTATAAGGAAAATCCTGAAGATCTCAGTTCTTATCCTTGCTAAGACAAACTGACTAACAAACTGTCTTATTTAGGTGTATGTTTCTAAGACACAATAGTTTACGGAGGTTTCAGTGTGTATCAACTATGGCAAGCTCATAATTCATAGAGAATGTGTCCACAAGTTAGCTCTTGAACTAGAATATGTAATTTCAAAATAGTTTCCACTGAAATAATCCTGTTTTCAAACTGAGTCATCTTTCATCTCCTGCTTCAAACTTTTTATCTTATGAGTCAATATCCTCATTTTGTTCACAGCCTTTACGGTAGAGAGTGTTTTAACTGTAATACTGCTTAGATGTCAGTATACAGTTTGTGCAGAAAGAGCACTGATCACAGGTCAGCACTACTGCTGGTGGTAAGGAGGTGGTGGTGACCGTAGATACCCACAGTATCCAACAACTGGTAGCAACACAAGAGGCCACTGCCACTTTCTTAGCTAGATGGTCTTAGGCCCAGCAAAAGCCAACTACTAACCTCATTTAAAGAAAAAGAACAGGGTGCAGCATTTTGGTGCAGTGGGTTAAGCTGCTACCTGTGATGCCGGCATCCCATGTGCGCAGCCAGTTTGAGTCCCAGCTGCTCCATTTCTGACTCTGCTCCCTCCTAAAACACCTGGGAAAGCAGCAGAAGATGGCCCAAGGGCTTAGGTCCTTGTGACCCCACGTGGGAGATCCACCTAGGGTTCCTGGGTCCTAGTTTTGGCCTGGCCTAGCCATGGCCATTGCAGCCATTTTGGGGGAGTGAACCAATGGATGGAAGATATTCTGTCTCTCTCTCTTCTTCTCTAACCCTGCCTTTCAAATAAAATGTCACTTAAAAATACAGTTAAATGTAAAACTCAAAAATATAAGCATAAAAGTAAATCCTGTATGCTCAAATTCCAGGAGTCACAATAGATTATGCTAGAACCATCATGACCCCCAGGTCCCATTATGAAAGTATGCATAGATTAAACAAATGAGCACACCTCCTGATTCACTGGGGCCTGCTTTACTCTTCTTTTTTCCTTCTGGGAGAGGCTGATACGGTCTCTGTCCCACAGGCTCGTCACCGTGGATAGCTGTTAGGTCATGCATACTGAAACTTCTTAAACGTTCAGTTATAGCACCTTGGCTCTATTTGACAGAGAAGTGATAAAACTAAGGGAAAAATACTTTAACATATTTAATACACTTACATTCAACATTATAAATGTTAAAACATCTTATTATGAAACATAATAACCTCTTGTGACATTAATATCATGCCAGAACATTTTACTATGGGATTTTCAGAAAAGTTGAAAGATTTATACAATGAACATTCACACATGAGAAATATTTCAAAATATTTGTGGAAAAAAGCATTAAAATGTAAGTTTATTTTGATGCAAGATGTTTTGAAATGCATGCACATTTTTTTCATAATATGAATCAAGTAAATATATATATTCTTTAAAGCACTTAATATCTTTATAGTTAAACCAATCAAAGTCAGATCTTCCAGTTTTTAAGTTTCAGCTAATAAAAATTAAATAAGCAATTCAATTCCCAGGGTTGGCGCTCTGGTGTAGCGGGTAAAGCTGTCGCTGCAGTGCTGGCATCCTACGTGGGTGCTGCCGGTTCCAGTCGCAGCTGCTCCACTTCCGATCCAGCTCTCTGCTATGGCCTGGGAAGGCAGTAGAAGATGGCTCAAGTGCTTGGGCCCCTGCCCCCATGTGGGAGACCCAGGAGAAGCTCCTGGCTCTGGATTGGTGCAGCTCCAGCTGTTGCGGCATCTGGGACCCCCCTCTCTCTCTCTGATCGGCGCAGCTCTGGCCATTGTGGCCATCTGGGGAGTGAACCAGCAGATGGAAGACCTCCCTCTCTCTCTCTGACTCTGCTTCTCTGTAACTGTGCCTTTCAAATAAATAAACAACTCCTTAAAAAAAAAGAATTCAATTCCTGATCTGCACTGGCCATATTTTAAATATTGCATGTGGCTAGTGACTACTGTACTGGACAGGGCAGATAACAGAACATCTGGATTGTTGCAGAAAGTTCATTGATTTTCATCATCACACAGCTCCAAAAGGGACATTTTCTGAACTTCTCAGATACAACTACATTTTCTGCTAGTTTAAAGCTTTGTAGAAAAAATAATTTCTAAAGTTATCCACTTTAAATTTGCATAGCATATAGATGACTCATTTCTTATTTATAGGTGCATTAAAAATTCTTCTGAAGGTTTTTTTACACTTATTATTTCTTCTTTTCACACATGTGAAGTTATGAGAGTCTTGAGTTATAACGTTACCATAGAAACTCATCCATAATGGTTCATCTTTACATTTCAAAGTCAAAGGTGTTGCAGATATTCAGGAATCACTGCTAACCTGTATTTCACACTGAACAAAATGGTCTTGACTCAGTACGTACTCTAGGCCAATGTCCTGTGATAAAAGCAACGCCATTCCTAATGCCTTGCTGGAGCTTTGTATTTCTACCTTATTTTTTGAATTGTGATAAGGAATTTTTAAAGAGTATGTATCTTCAATAAAAATAATTGTATCATACACATTTAAAAACATTCCTGGGAAAGTTTTGTTCATTCTCCTTGCTTCTTCATTATCGGGTATCATTTACTAATTGAATAGATTGGTTTGCAGAAGACTTCAGAGACAAACCAGCAGGAAGAGACCTGTGCTCATCTGAAACAGATGCCTTGTTTTCTCAGAACTGCCATATTCTTCACCTCACCTCTGAGATTCTGGTCCTCTCAGCAGTTTGGACATTTGCCTACTGCCTCACAGGAGGCAAATGGCATGCACATCCATGAACCCAAGGAAGGACATTTAGGAATACAAACTCTCATCAAAAATCACTGAGTCTGTTTACCTTTATGATTATATGAAGAAACTTCAAAAAGTTCACAGAAAGTGGAATTAAAGGGTAATTTTAAAAATTTAATTTAGGGGCCAGCGCTGTGGCATAGCAGGTAAAGCCGCCGTCTGTAGTGTTGGCATCCCATATGGGCCTTGGTTTGAGTTCCAGCTGCTCCCCTTCTGATCCAGCTCCCTGCTATGGCCTGAGAAAGCAGTAGAAGGTGGCCCAACTTGCACCTGCGTGGGAGACCTAGAGGAAGTTCCTTGCTCCTGGCTTCAGATTGGCACAGCTCCGGCCATTGCGGCCGACTGGGGAATGAACCAGCAGATGGAAGACTTCTTTCTCTCTCTCTCTCTGCCTCTCTTTCTCTCTGTGTGTAATTCTGACTTTCAAATAAATAAATAAATATTAAAAAAATAAAATTCAAATTAAAATATTCACTTGAAAGAATGACACAGAGAGGGAGAGGGGGAGAGAGAGAGAGAGAGAGATCTTATATTCTCTAGTTTATTCACCAAATGTTCGCAAAAGCTGGAGTTAGTCTAGGCCCAAGCCAGGAGCCAGGAACTCCATCTGAGTTTCCCATGTGGGTGGTAGGGACCCAAATACTTGAGCCAGCATCTGCTATCTCCCAGGCACATTATCAGGAAGCAGGATCAGAAGCTCAGAGTAGCTGGGACTTGAGCCAGGCACAAGGGGCAACTTAACCTACTGTGCCACAACACTTTTATTTTTATTTTAAAATTTTATTTTAAAAATTATAATTTTTATTAATGCAAAAAAAATTTGGAATCTGTGCACAGTTTTTCATGATATGCATTTTCCATGAATTTTTTTTTAAGATCTCTCATATCATCCACAAACTCTGATACCTTTAACAAGCATAATCAACACATTTCTTAGGATGTTATCAGATACATGAACCCACATTTCACTATTATATCTATTGTTGGGCTACATATATTTTGCCTCCAGAGCAAGAATTTAAGAAACTAGAGAGGGACAAACCTTACACTTCTTTTATTCTCTGGGTACATCTGGTATGGTGCTGATACTAAAAACATTATAAGTAAAAGCACTTCTCTTCCTTCTTCTTTTTTATTATTTTCAACTGCTAAAGAGTTCTCCATATAGAGCAGGTGTTTTCACGTAAACACTGAAGTTTTATTGCAGAAGTGCAGCAGCAAACTACAGGTATGGTCATGCATGTATCTACAGGTAGACCACACCATCAACTAGAGATCTGCTTCCGATTTAGATTACCCTGAGGTATCTGGGTGATCTACTTTCATGCTGAGTTTTAATTAAGCTCTTGAGTCACCATCCTTATTCTTATTATCAATAGTTTAGAATTATCAATGCTCTCAAAGCTTCAAGGAAAGCCACATGCTGGGAAAAGCAAAGGGGACGGCAATCATCTTTGAAGAGCCTCCCCCTTCAATACTTCAACGGGCATTATCATTATCACCTTGAAAACTGGATTTTCCACTGGATTTTTTTAATGGGCCTAGAATAGAACTAATATGAGAATTAGCAAAGTACTGTAAACTTCAAAAACATTATATAAATTATAAATACTCAATGCAACCACTTAAAGGAGAGCTATAAAAAAATCTTATCTAAAGGACAATTTTTTCCTTTTAGTTTTTATATCTTCAGCACAAAAGTCCACTAATAAAAGAATTATATTTGCTACACAATGTGAGTAGCAATACCTTCTCTCCACCCTAGAATTCAAAATCATACGTATGAAATAGTTCTTTTTTTTATTTTTTATTTTTATTTTTTCAGACAGAGTGGACAGTGAGAGAGAGAGACAGAGAGAAAGGTCTTCCTTTGCCGTTGGTTCACCCTCCAATGGCCACCGCGGCCGGCGCGCTGCGGCCGGCGCACCGAGCTGATCCGATGGCGGGAGCCAGGTGCTTCTCCTGGTCTCCCATGGGGTGCAGGGCCCAAGCACTTGGGCCATCCTCCACTGCACTCCCTGGCCACAGCAGAGAGCTGGCCTGGAAGAGGGGCAACCGGGACAGAATCCGGTGCCCGCCCGGGACTAGAACCCGGTGTGCCGGTGCCGCAAGGCGGAGGATTAGCCTAGTGAGGCGCGGCGCCGGCCCTCATATGAAATAGTTCTAAGAATGCAGTATGGTTATTAGTAGACAGGGGAAAATAGACAAAAATTAAAATAGTACAATGTTTAGGTAGATGGAATGAGTTATTTTTCTAAAAAATTTCTTCAATATTATAAAATTAGTCATCGATGGTTTAATTAAGGTTTTAATTGTAATACTGTAGTATTTGTAGTATTTATGAACGCTTCTGATTCATTTCTTACTCATGTTTCCTGCATCTAATCCTTTATTATCATTTAAAGAAAACAGTTTTAGGGCCAGCATTGTGTTGTAACTTTGCCTTTCAAGTAAAATAAAATAAACACCTTTACAAAAAATGATTTTTTACTTTGAGGGCACAACAGGGCACTGTAGTCATGTCACACATGTCAATTACAGTGTCAAATGGTATTAAAGTTTGGTTTGAATTAATAATACTTTCTTTATGTATTTTCTTTTAAGATTCATTTATTTGAAAGTCAGAGTTACAGAGAAGAAGAGACAGAGTCAGATAAGAAGGTAGATCTTCCATCTGCTGGTTTACTCCTCAAATGGCCACAATGGCCAAAGCTGGGCCAATCCAAAGCCAGGAGCCAGGAGCTTCTTCCAGGTCTTCCTTGTGGGTACAGCAGCCCAAGCCCTTGGACCATCTTCCATTGCTTTCCCAGGCCATAGCAGGGAGTTGGGTAAGAAGTGGAGCAGCTGGGACTTGAACTGGCGCCCATATGGGATGCAGCACTACTGGCAGTTGCTTCACCTACTATGCCACAGCGTTGGCCCCAGTAATTTTTTTGATTTGTATGATATCAAACCAAAAATATAAATGAGGGGGGCTGGTGCTGTGGCATAGTGGGTGAAGCTGCTGCCTGCAGTGCCGGCATCCCCATGGGCACCAGTTCAAGTTCTGGCTGCTCCACTTCCATTCCAGCTCTCTGATATGGCCTGGAAAAGCCCAGGGCCATACCTTGGGCCCCTGCACCCATGTGGGAGACCCGGAGGAAGCTCCTGGTTCCTGGTTTCTCATTGGCACAGCTTTGGCCACTGGGGCCATTTGAGGAGTGAACCCACGGATGGAAAACCTCTCTCTCTCTCTCTCTCTCTCTCTCTGCTTCAGCCACTCTGTAACTCAGCCTTTCAAATAAAATAAATAAATCTAAAAAAAAA